ATTCATGGGGATTTTCCAGATTGGACTTAAAATAGTTTTCTTTGCCAAGTTATCAAAAATCTATTTGTTGGTGTGTTTTGTGGTTTGACGACATGACAGGGATTCTGAGGCTGTGGATTTTGGAGAGCTCTCTGATGCTCTCTCATGACCGCTGACGTTGGACTGGTGTACAAAGGCATGTGTAGTTATGGATTGTTGTTGCACACCTGGAACATGCGCTCCTTTGCACTCAACTATTGTGGCTAGACTTAGATGCTGTACTGATATTAGTAATGTATTTGATTGCGAATTGGGCATTTTGGATCTGATATATAATTGATTTTTGACATTTTTGTTCAGACATCATGGTCTAAAGGATATAAAAAGCTGGTCTTCTATAGGCAGGGACTATAGGTTGAAGTCAGTCAGCTGGAAGCATTCTAAACCTTTTTAAACTATCACCCACTAGCAAACAACATCATATGTAATTGATTTGTGGTCACTGTCTGTCCGTCATGGCCCCTGGCTTCCTCTTTATTGCCTTCTTAAACTAACGTTAGTGTGGGGCTGTCCAAAGGCAAGCAGCGACTTGTGTGAATCATCATAATCTTTACCTTTTTTATCTAAGGCCGTGTGTTACAGTTACAGACTGCGCACGTGGGAAAATATATTTATCGCTGATGTGGGAACAAAATAAATAAATGCAAATGAAAAAGTTCCACTGTGAGATTGTGTTGCAGCGGGGAGTTTCCTACCTTCTCCCAAACATCTCTTTTAAGCCATTCAGTGTTTTGGAACCATTGTGTTTGTGCGGTGGCCCAGTCAGATGCCCATAGCTTTTGGGAAGCCTCTTCTACTCATGTGTATGGTGTAAGATGAACTGACAATGGCTATAGCTTTAAAATATGAAACTTGAAGCTCAGTGATTTGCAGCTTGAATCTAAGACAGGACAAGCCCTTTGCCCCAAGGGAGCTGCAAATGATGATCTGCAGATATGAACTCTGCTCAAGAGGAATGACATCATGCAAAGATTCTTTAACAAGCTACATCCAGACACATATTTAAGGTATACAGGAGAACCGCCCTCTCCACTTTTTGAACTAAACTCTCTGGTCTCATTTGACAAGCATGTATCACAAGAATGATTGACAAATGAGAGGAACAATAGCCTTGATGATCCACCCGAAAGGAGAAAATCCTCCTATATACCTTTAATGTTTCAAAGGACTGTGTTTGGGTTTGACAAGAGGGTAAGGAGATTTCTTAATTCCAGATTTAACATATTTACATACTCGCAAAACAGTAGGAATATATGACTTTCCGGTGAAGGGTAAGGGTGTTCCTCATCGTGGCGGAGTGCTGATGCTGAGATGTTGTTTTGTTCCCCCAATGTTAAAACATGCACCGCACAATGAGGAGGACTGTTATAAGACCAATTCTCGTCATTCACCTCCTTGAGAAAAACAACAAATTGTTTAAAAAGTATAAAACACATTGAACTGAACATTGAAACAACTGAAAGTAGGACTTAGTAAGTCTGCCTGTGAAAGTTGACATACATTTAATTCATCTTGAATGTTTACCCACAAACTGAATATCCCTAGATGTTGAGAGGTACTGAGGTAGCCAATATGGAAACAAAGCCACAAGCTCAACGTTTTAATTCCCATACCGAATATACAAAACCAAGTGGCCAGTGACATCATAATTATGTTGTCTTTCAAGAACAAGCCACAGGCAACATTTGAGTGCCTTCTCACCTGCAGATAATCACCTCCCAGCCTGACAGAGAAAGGTGTTTGTTGTGGAGCACGCTTCGACCTGCTGAGATCCTTGCACCGATAGAAGAAGAGAGATGAGAGAGAGATGAGAGGTCAGGAATCTCCTCAGTACCTATCTGTACTTTGATCTCCCTATAACGCTATAACTCATACTTCTTAAACTGACCTAGAAACCAACATTTAGTTTGAAAAACCTAAATTTGCAACATGTTCAGCAAATACTAGCATACATAAACCTTTAGAAACATTTAAATTAAAGAAAATGAAAGATCTGTTTGTTGATTTCAACAAGTCTAATGGGGAAAAAGTTTCCATATGTCCCACGTCCCATTCAATTAAATGGTGCAGTTCTGCAAATGGACAGAAAATGGAAACCACTTCTATCGTGGACCTGTTTTTACTCACCATAGGTTTCCTTCTCAGCCTTCTGATCGGGACTCGCATGGTTCTACTGTTATGGGCACCAACATACCTACCTATACCAACCTATAACTTCTATGGGAACGACGACCCTAAGCCAAAAAGTATTAGGTGATTTGCCCAAGGAGCGAATACAATTATTACATGAATCGTTCAGACTGAATTTTCTTGATAAAATGGTTGTACGGTATTGGTTGCCTCAAAATCTGACTGGGACAAAACACTCTTTATGTGTGGCTTCATGTTTAAGGAAATTTGGACTTGTTGGATGTGAGCCCGCTCGGTTCACCACTCACCCATAAAGGCCACATTTGTGTAATGTACTAATATTTGCCCCATGTACAGATTCCAAGTGAGCTGTGGATATCTGCAGCTCCTCCAGAGTTTCCACTGGACGTGTGACTGTATCTGGGATCAGTGTTGTCCTTATTTCAGCTATGAGTTCGGGCAGATTTTTCAGTTTTATGCTTTCACTTCACAGTTGTCTGTTACTTTGTTGTTGTCTTTTAGAAGATAAGCAATTCAATCAAAAAAAAAATCTTTATGTCTGGGTCATAAAGTTGTTAGTACTTTGGCAAGCCACTTTTGATGCTAACAATGTGGCTGGGATTTTGAGGGGGATTCCTGCCAAGAACTCATTTGTTGATAATAGTTGAAGTTGAAGTCTGACCATGGCCATTATGAGCTCAAACTCAGACAAACTGCCATGGTTCCATCCACTATTCAAACAACAACCCGGTTTTCAGACAGCTGCAAAGTACAAGGGGAAGGCCACAAAGAGACACTCACAAAGATAAACAGTCCCACTGACGGAAGAGAGCTCATTTCTTTTGTGAGGCTTCTGCACCTTTGTATCTAACCTTTTGAATACACCTTAGGAAAACATCCGTACCCAGTCTTCCTTGTGAACTTTATCCATGTGAAAATAGCATTTGAATATGACTTGAGGGGTGTCTATGGACCTATTATTGTTGAAAAATGATTTGTATGTTTCCATAGGGTTTTGCCAAAACAGTACAAAGACAAAGAGGAAATGGACAACTTTGTGATGGATCACCACAGGCCTATACCACAACTCAGCACAGCTTGTCTTAAAGGGAAGAATAAAGTATAGGATTAACTTACTGCCCTCCAGTTTACTGCCAACGTCTCATGTTTTATACTGATTATATGGAATAGTTAGAATGTTTTAATGTAATGAGCAGAACTACAACTTCTACTTGTATCAGTGGCAAAATTGAGAAGAAAAATATCAATCAATTCTAGGGACAAACAGCAGCACTTACTCCTGTCTTGCAGCTAAAGACACTAGCAACTTATTGTTTAGAGATACAGTGTTTTCTACATTGTGTCCCTTTAATATATTTGTCAGACTCAAATTCAAAACACTTTATTTATCCCCAAGGGGAAATTAAACTGTCAAAATTAAATGGTCGCTATAATCAGAGGTGGCAGTACTTTTAGTAAGATGGGTAAATTAGTTTTGAAAAATACAACACAACATAAAAAAGAGACAAAACAGATAAGCTGGGTATAGCCGTTTAAGTTCATTAATGCAGGTTCTACTACGACAGTACATTTTACAATTTTAATATCATAAATATTGTCTATTATTGAGTGAATGTGTTATAAAAGCTTATGTAGCCAACTTGTTTATGTATGGGAATGACTTCGATACCAGTCCGTTTTATGAGAGTATTGTTATTTCCCTATGCTTAATGTTGTTGAGCGTTGCTGCCCTCGTGAGACAGCTTTTTGAAGTCTTTTCAGAAGATTCAGGCTAATACAAAAACACGGTTTATAATAGATCCATGGGTTTGTCCCATTAGAGCCTGATGAACAGTTAATATGAACACATTTCATAACCTTCGTTTTACCAATGTAATAGAACATAGAGATTCACATTTTGTTTTGTTTGTTTGCATCAGAAATTGTTTTGTAAAATACAATACAATGGATTGTAGATTTTCTCAGGATGGACTTTCACTGCAACTCGTCAGAGTTTGACCAGTGTAATGAAAGAAACTTGATGTTTGAATTCTCCATTCACCTTCTAAATGTATTTTCTTGCATGCAGAGGAAATATGCTTTGTTTTTGAAGCGCTGCCCATTGAACAAAAGCTTGTTTGGAGGCAACTGAACTAAAGGTATGGTGTATTTTTTCTAGTACTGTGATAGGAAGCAACGAGAGGGTGGAATCTCTATACCTCCATTGGTTTCTTTCAGGAAGAAACCCCCATAGGTATTTCGAAAAATGAATTATAAAAAATTGAAAACTATTACATTTTTTGAGTTTCAGAAGGTCGTGCACCTCAAGATTTCTTTCAACAAAAAAGGTATGTTGCAGCTCAAAAAGGTTGGGGAACGCTGCTCCAGTTGCCCGGTAGTCGGATGACCGGTAATTTCATTTCATACTATTTCATTATTGTTACATTTAATGAACCAAACATTCTTTTGGAGGATTTGTTAGCTGAATAGTTTGAGCTCGTATAAGGCTTGGCTTCTGATTCTTCTCAAATTTGGGAAATGGGCAATGACAAATGATGTGTTAACTTGAGATATTTACCAATAAATGACCCTTTGTAAACGTATTAGTGCATGCTCCTAAAAGGTCATATTGCTGTAATCCACATTGTCGCCAGTTTGCAGATGCAGCCGTCACAGACAGCAGAGAGCGGGGCGCGGTGACGTCAGACGCGGTGACGTCAGACGCACGCTGCTGTCTCTGAGCGGAGCTAGGAGCTCTAGCACCTCAGATAAACACAGGTGTGTGAGGCCAGCGCAACCATTACAGGAGACCTGCTTCAACAAGTTTCAACATGTCTGAGACATATGGTACGTTCTGGTTCGCCGAAGTGTATTGATAGTGACGCCAGCCTGGGAGAGGAGACAGATGGAGCGCTGCGACTGAAGTGGAAAGCTAACAGACGGGTGGCCCAAGCTCACTAACCTGATGTGATTGTTGTGTCTTAATGGTTAAAACAGTATTTCTAAACCATCAGTGCTGATCTGTAGTCTATACGTGCCTGTTCTGTGAACTTGATGCCCATGACAGCAGAGCAGTTGTTTGCTTTTACTCGACATCTTGTTTCCTGAAGCGCACTTCCTCGCTAGCATAAACAGCCACAGGTAGCGAACTTAAACGAAGTAAAATCTTTTCAGAGAGGCCCATGAGTTTAGGCTTTCTAATCTTGTGCTTGATAAGCCATAACTCAAATATGTACTAAAGCTGTTTCTCACTGAATGCACGGGGTCCGTGAAAGTAAAGTCCCACTGAATCTGATCATGGTTGTGTTTCCTCATCTGCCATTGGAACGACCGCATTAGATGCATCTTATTCTATAACTTGTACTAATTTGGTCAATCCCTTTTATTAACAATACATGTTTTCTATTACATCATTACCACTAGTAATAAATAAAATAACTCCAAACATATGATGACATTATAGTAATAGCATGAATCTAGTCTATTTTTATTTAACTTACAAATTACTTAATTGGAGGGATTTTGTTGGGTTCTATTACTAAACAATGTAAACACACTACATTTGAAACAAGACATTTGTTAGATTGTCTGATATAGTGTTGTGTACTGTAGACTTTTGATTGTTTTTGTGATGGATTTTACGATATTTTTCATGTTCTATTGCTGTAAAGTATCCCTCGAGAAGTCCAGTCTCATTGTTCAGTAGAGTTTCAGTCTGTAATGACTAGCCTAGTTGGAATGTTAAACTAAAATGACTCTTCCTCTGTGTTAGGTGATTAAAAAGTCTTCATCTGTTTGGTCAATAGGATTAAAGGAAATTCCCTGTCTGTGCTCCATGAAGGGGGGGTAGGCTGCACTCTCTTCTAATAGCCTCTTTGTATTGATCTCTGCATATTGCCTTTCAGACTTCCTCTTCAAGTTTTTGGTTATTGGCAGCGCTGGTGCAGGAAAGTCGTGTCTTCTGCATCAGTTCATTGAGAACAAATGTAAGTTGCTGCTCTCAAACATAAGCTACATATTATATAATTCATAAGTAGAACTGGGTACTGTTTAAAGTACTGGTCTGGAATCAGATGAAATAAGGTTTTACTGGTACAGAAAATGCAGAAAGGTACTGGGGAATTTGCCCTTGTTGACTATGAAAGTCTTTATTTGTGAAGATATTAAAATCTACATTACGTTTAGATTGGGGCTATTTAATGTATATTATAATTCATATTTTCCCTTATTGAGTTCTTGTATCAAGATTGAGCATAAGCCATAAGTGGCTCAGTAATTGTACATTCAAAGATTGATTGTTTTTAAATTTTCAACCTATGAAACACTGCTTTAGGTGCAGAGATTAGAGCATCAGTCTTTGAATTGGTGACACCAAAAATCCTGGAGAATTACATATTTTACTATATTGACCTTTGTTACCCTCCTGTGGACTCACCACCTGCAGAGGGTCAGTGAGGGGCTGGTGCTATGAGACTTGGGTGGCATCTCTGACTGCCACCCCCCTGACCCAGAAATGGATTAAAGGGTAGAAAATGGATGGATGGATGGACCTTTGTTACTCAGAGCCTTCGAGATACAAAATATTTTTTCCCGACTCATTGAACTTTTTTTTGCAGTCAAGCAGGACTCGAACCACACGATTGGAGTGGAGTTTGGCTCCAGGGTAGTAAATGTTGGAGGAAAGACTGTAAAACTACAAATATGGGACACCGCAGGGCAGGAGCGCTTTCGGTAACGACGCTACTATGATTTTTCTGCAATGTCAAAGTTTATTTTTGTACACTTGAACACTTGTTTCTTTCAGTTCTGTGACGCGCAGCTACTACAGAGGCGCAGCTGGAGCTCTGCTGGTCTACGACATCACTAGGTACTAACTGCAGGTCTAGTTATTACTATACACACAGTGTCAGCACACGTAATGAGATCAACTGGTTGGAGAACAAACACACAACACAAGCTCCCCTGTTTATCCTGTATCTTTCTGCCCTTACAGTCGGGTCCACAAAATCCAGACATCAACACAATAACTTCCAGTACACACATCACAATATCGAAATGATCTGATCCAAAACTACAATATTGAGAGAATTGGCTGTTTTCCATTCATTATCAAAGGGCGAGAGTTGGTTTGAGAAAATGGTTTGGAATGTCTGTGTATATAATCTTGTAAATGAATATAAGAATTTAATCAAAGAAATTCTGAAAATGTGAAAAATATGCGTGTGCGAACGTAATGTCGCCCACTAAACATTCTACAGGCGTTCCCATGGTTATGTAATGTTTCCATAAGAGATTGAACTGACTTTGCCTCTTTGTCTTTCATTCAGCCGCGAAACCTATAACGCTTTGACCAACTGGCTGACCGATGCGCGCACATTGGCGAGCCCCAACATAGTCATCATCTTATGCGGCAATAAGAAAGACCTGGACGCGGACAGAGAGGTGACCTTCCTCGAGGCTTCTCGCTTCGCACAGGAAAATGGTAAAAAACCCAAAACATGAAATGGTACGAAGCAAGAATTCGGTTTGATTCGTTTTGCTGAATTCTGCACAGAACTGATTTTCTTGGAGACGAGTGCTTTGACCGGAGAAAACGTGGAGGAAGGCTTTTTGAAATGCGCCCGCTCCATTCTAAACAAGATAGATTCAGGTAAAGCCACGATTGTTTGTTGAGGAGGCGGGTTGAAAGCACTTAGTCTTGTGGACATCTTTGAACGCTCTTTGCATTAAGAAGCTATTAAGTCTTATGCCTCATGTGATTTTCATGACTCATTGTTTGAGACTAAATGATTCATGTGGACTTACTTTTTTTGACTTCCATATTCATCTTTTGCAGGCGAGTTAGACCCAGAAAGGATGGGATCAGGTATTCAGTATGGAGACTCATCACTGAGGCACTTACGACAGCCCAGAAACCCGGCCGCTCAGAATAAACAGCAGTGCAGTTGCTAGAGAAAGGAGGACTTACGTTTCTTACCCCCAAGCAGACAGGACTCCCCCTACAGGTCAGTGTGTGCGGTTGGCAACTATAAAAGTGCAGTTCGCTTGTGATTTATTAATGGTTCTTGTGTTATTGTCTCGCATTGCAGCTCGTGGGCCTATGTTTCAGAGTCTTCTCCAACTCCTACTGGGGGCACCTGGATTATAAGAACTGATTGTGCCGCCCGGATACCCTGCGCCTGGTTTAATTGGCAGGTTGTCTTGTATGCGTGTGGAGTCTCCTGATATTCTGTTGAGTTGCTAATATCTGCTTTGCACATGTTTTCTATTAAGTTATTAACTGTTTTTTTTTTTTACTTTAACGTTATTTTTTACCGGAGCTATCAACTCCCCTTTTTCTAAAATGATACGTCTGCAAGTTGACACAAGTACTGAGAAGGTATGACTCAACATTTGTCTCAACATTTGAGGTTTTTTGGTCCATTTGTACAGTTCTTACTAGAAGATTCTGTTCAAAGTGGCCTGACTTCAGTAAATTCTTTAAAAAGCATGTTTTATCTCCATTATGGATTTGTACGGCACTGGAAGGAGTAGAAAAACTGGTCCTTACTGTGAGCAGATGGCCTCTTAAAACATGGTCAGCAGAATGGTTTAACTTATTTCCAGCAAATCATGCAAGTGTGGCTTTAAGTAAAGACAATTGAAGAACACTATTTATCAGTAGGGCACTTCATGAACACTGGACCAAGGGTCATGTTTGAGACAAATGATAAATCCAGCTTCCCTTGGGTGAATGAAAGCACAGAAACTTACCAATGTTTTTTGAAAGAATCTGCACTTTTGTAACAAACTTTTGCACTGAGGCCTCCCAAATCTCAGTGATATATGCAAACACTGCATACATGATAGGAAACCAAATTTGGTTAATCAGCAGTGCAATTTGCCAGTTGTCCATAGAACCGGCTTTAGCCTTCGCATTGTTTACGACTTTGTAAAACCTTAGAAAGTCTGCTGGGTTTTTGGCTCTTGATCAATACGCTGTCAATGTCACTGAAGGCAGATTTTGACTTAAAATCCAAATACTAAAGTTCAATCACGTTTCTTGATTCCACAATATTGCTGGTATTCTGTCGCTTTTTGGCAAGTGCACTTTCATTTTTATTGTCTGTTATATTTTAAGCTGTAAGTATAGGATTGTAAATTGTTTATTTTACCTCATATATTAATAAAGAGTATAACTGTAAATGACCATTTCCCAAGTCTTGTGTACTTTCCCATCTACCTGCCTGGATGAGTGGCCTGTGTGAGATAAATGTCACTGACTTCCTGGGCTGTAGGAAGAAGTCATGTTCTAGCACTAAAAATCTTTGCCTATTTATGGCCCCAATTAAATTCCCTTGAACGGTTAAATTATTTGGATTTCAGTTGCTGGCTTTAGACCAATTCAGATCAGATGAACAATGACAAATCTGTCATCCAGTCCAGCTCTGAATAGAATATGTAACAGTTATTGCAGAGTTAAAGAATGTTTAGGCTTTTCCAGGTTCCATCACAACTCATTTCTAGGACTAGATTCTACATTTTACATTCAGGGAGGATGTGGAAAACGAATGCAGTATAAGTATTAGTTTTAAGTGCATTTAAAAACTAAAACACTACAGCCGAGTCCTGGATCTATCGCCTGTCGGAGCAGATCTCTTTCAATGTGGGCCTCCCCTGGTTTCACTTTTACCCAGTATTTTCCTTTGAGAGATCTGGGACATTGGTCATCCCACTCCCTATGGACCGATTGCTCCTGTGTTATTGCATGTCCTGTGATCAAATTGCTTGATTTTCTGAAGTGTTGTTGATGAACTGACAACTTTGCAAAGTAGTCTTGTGATTTAGGAATGTAATAAAATAAAGTGGTTTGAGTCGATTCAGATTACAATTACATGGGTTCTCTTCCACTCACCAGAAGATGGCGCCAAAGCATAAACACTTCTTTCATTTATTTTACATATAACGGGTACTTGACGGGTGAATACATTTGTTTCTTTCATAAACTCTCACATCTTCACAAGGAGTACAGCTACACATACTATTAATTAAAAAAAAGTACAAGTTAAACATTGCTTCACCTTAAACGGCCAAACTACCTGAAAGGTTGTGATGGTTAAACATGTTGCGGCCCTTTGAGGTTGTTCATTATAAAGAATGAAATATTGTAGTTAAATATTGTGGTTTGACCTACAGGACAATAGGCCATAATAAACAATTCTCTAACAATTCAATGGACACAATTCAAAATAAACATTACAGTACTGCTTTTAAAACATATAATTCCAATGCTCTGTTTTGTGTAAATATGACCACAGTTTGCATCAATGTGGCACCTCAGAAGACAAGTTACTAAGCTTGGAATGCACAATGAGTAAAGGAGGATTGTTTCATAAAGTCTGTAGTGAATAGTTAACATGTACCAAGGGGGCATTGATATGAATAGAAAATCAACCTTAGAGCTAAACAAATTTGTAATTACATAGAATAACAATATGTTGAAATGATCAGAAGTTGGCTTCAGCCAGCAGCACAGGCAAAATACCGCCACTTATAGAATGTTATAGAAAACAAAATGCAAAAATAAAATCTCACAATTAAATTCATGTAGACAGTTGGGGTCACAACGGGTCATTTTCCAGTAGAGGATTGGACAGTTGATTGGGCAGGTACTGAAGAGATGCTACTCGAGTGACTGCAGCATGAGGAGCTGCTTCAACACCTTTGTCTGACTCGTCTCCCTGATTTCTCCTGCGAGGAACATCTCATCCACCACAGTATACACCTGGAAGGGCACAGTGCAAGAGCTTTATGATAACTACAATTACTTGCTGTTCCATTCAAATGCATTTTTTATACAAGACAGATTCTTCACTAACTCCTAAATAATGTTTTCTTGCTGTTCCGATAACTCAGACTGACGTGTGTGTGTGTAGGCGAAGCTGTGTTAAGTCAAGCTTGTAGGTGTTGGACATCTTTGCTAAATTCTGAATCGCAGCAATATAGCAATTTTTTTGCATTTGTTTATAATACAATATAAATCATACCTTATAAAAGTTGAAGACAAGGTCCAATTCACACACATTGTGAAAGTATTCATTTAGCACCTTGAAGAAAGAAAATATAATTTTAATAATCATATAATGCATTGGTTTTATAAAGACATGACACGCATGAAAAGATTCAGCAAACTCAACATTTTCGAAACCAGTTCAATATTTCTGTGATCACCTTAAAAATGCTGAGGTGCTTCTCAATACTCAAATTGTCCTGGATTAACTGGAGCTACCTCGACTTTCATATTTCACTCTACTCTTCACAGGCAAATCTCTACAAACACATCCAGCGGTAGCCTGGCCTTAGCCATCCCTAAACTCCGGTCAATTAATATTTCCCTCCATGTACGAAATTAAATTAGCACAATGGTGTGGCCAGACCAGGCTAATGCAGTGGTGTAAAAAAATAAAAAAAATACAAAATACTGGCCGGCATATAAAATTGAGATCTGAAAATAATACCCCATCTAGAAGTCATGATTTAACATTTTTGCGCAATAATGGTGAATAACTAAAATATATTTTACATGGGATCTACACTATTAAGAGATTAAGATTAGGATATTGTTTATTCATCCCACAGTAGGGAAATTTCAGTGTTGTATCACAAGTTACAGACCAGGAAGAATGAGGAGTACACAACACAAGATAGCACTATATACACTAAAAAATAAAATCACCATCTTTAGCTTAATAAACAGCACAATGTCATGTCATTTCATAAGGCTAAAGTTAATCTTAACTTCATAAAACACAATTCAACAGATTAAGCAACAGTACAAAACCAGATCAGATTCATGTTGTTTTAGTCTAATCTAAGAACAAAGGACTTTCACGGTAGTGGACTCTGGATCTCGATAGACACACAACCATCTTGGCAAGGTTTGTTCATTACATTACTGACTAATGTTGAATTAAATGTCACTCACTGTTTTGGAGAAGCACTGAAACATTGTTACAAGTTCAGACACTGGGGTTGTGTTTTACGACTTTAACTTCATCTTAATTACAGTCCACAGTGGATTACACAGTCATGGGTAATGAAACTTTATAAAAACAAATTTGAAGTCTTGTAAATACCACTTGAAATCTCATTACATTTTTAAAAGAAAAGACCCTCAAACAGGAGCTCTTCCAGGAAATGACATTCCTACAGTCAATCAGACCATGTCAACTAAATCATCCCAGTTCACTTCAGTCTTTGCACCATGTGATGTTATTTACCTCCACAAAGTTGTGGATTCCTTCGAGGTATGCCAAGTTGTTATCAGTCACATCCACACAAATGCAGAAGTAGAGTCCAGCATAGCGTCGGTAAATAATCTTGAAGTTTCTGAACTGTGGGAATATAGATGAGGTTTTCTCATTATGCAAACAACAGACAGTCAATATCAGATAGAGGCACATGCCATGCCACATTAGTTAAACCTTTGGATAGGAGTGTATATTGTTTTACTTACCTCCACAAAATTAGTGTGTTTGGCGTCTCTCACCGTCACCACAGCGTGGACCTCCTCAATTAATTTTTGTTTTTCATCATCATCAAACTGCATGTACCACTTGGCCAACCTCGTCTTTCCAGCTCGGTTTTGAATCAATATGAAGCGGATCTGTGCGAGAAACCATGAAAAGCCTTTCAGCACAAGCAACAATAACGACATTTAGCGTAAATACAATGCAATTGTGGACAAACGTAAACAATGTTTCAACATTACATAGCCTGAATAACACCACATTAAAACAAACATTATATATTTATAATTAACAGTTAGCGTTGCCGTTGAGTAATAGTTAAACCTAAAGAGAAAACGTTACTGAATGAAACATTTATGCTAACATCATATGCAAGCATTTAACTACTACATTTAACGCTCGGTTAGTTAAGACAAGGGCATTAGACTAGCATACATACCATGTTTTCTATCTAGTCGTGTACAACAGACACGTTAAAAGTAGTATTTGTTTTTTTAATAAACTATTCTAAACGACATAAAAGATCCAATCGCTCGTCCGCTATCTTCTCGTAGCTAACAGGAAGTACCACCCAGTGACAGCGCTTTAGGCCCGACGGGATTTGTAGTCCTGTAGCACACTCTGACTGGACAGAAAAGATTTTTAAAAACTACATTACCCAGGGTCCAGTAAGAGGTGTACGTTCTTTGATCACATGAGACCTCTGCTGTAAGCTGTCCTCTGTAGGAGAAAATACCATGGAATACATAGATGGCCATATAAATGATATGCAACACGAATGCTTCCATTTGTTCTGCTATTTCACGGCAGAAAGCTCGTGAAATGTTGCCTTCAACATTAGTGATCTTGGTTTATTTTCCTCAAATTAACTGTAAACGGGTAAAGAATAAAGCAAATGTGCAAATAAATTAAATCTGTTACTTTAGTTGTGTTATACTACTGAGTGACTATAAAATGTAATATTATTAATAGTTACTTTTGTAACGAATTACTCCCATCACTGGTTCTGAGTGGGTGTGCTTGTGTTAGTGAGTCGGGAGAAATTTGTTTTATATTTTATATTTTTTTCACCAGACTTTGTTATTTCCTTCGAAAACTTCTACATACATATGCAAACCGTGTACTTGCATAGGCACAATCAAATGTTCTTCTCATTATGTGATACAAGCTGCTTTCAGATTAAAGGAAAAAAATCAAGATGTTGGTCGTTGTTGTCGGCCATAAAGTTGTCCAGACTGTTTGGGCTGCATGGATCATTCAGGGCGTGTGGGGTTGCAGAGGGTGGAACCTGACATTCAAGATTTCTCAACAGTGGACTGGAGGATTATTCTTGCTCCAAAGTAGATTTTCTTGCTTCACACAGACACATGTCTGTAAGTTTGGCATGTTTCTTGTAAATATTACATTTATTTACGTTCCTATGAGACCGTTCTTAAATCATACCCTATAGGGTAGACTCTGACCCACAGCCAAAACATGATATTATGATTATAAAACATGTTGTTGTTCTAATAAAGAATGAAGTGACTGTACAGGCTTTAGGGCCTGCAATGTGATTAATTATACATTTATCTGAGACTTCACTTAATTAACTTTGACCTTCATCCGCACTTTGGTTTAGTTTAATATTTACAGTTTAATAGTTTCAATACTGTTCTAACAATATGGTACAAAACAGATCATCTGGATTTTTGACCTTACTAATCTTCCCTGTGATTGGGGCATGTAAATATTGCAAAAAGAAGAAGCTGATGCCATTTAACAGAAGTCGCTGTCACTGAAATCCTGTATTGAAAAAAATGTGATAATCGAACTTGTCTTACAATTTACAAAACTTTATACAATGACTTCCATAGGAGCAATATTTTCCTACATGTTGCTGCAATTTCTTCCTGTTGGTTGGTTAATGGGTCAGTGTGGGTTAATGGGTCAGTGTGGGTTAATGGGTCAGTGTGGGATTGGTCAAAAAAACATGCTGAGTTACATTCATTGTATCAAAAGTGCAAATCACCTCAATATAACTGTAGCTCCATGGATATGGAGCTATGACATGTAGCTCCATGGATGGTGCCACATTGTAGATAAAACTGAGCGTCAAATGTTAAAGCCAAGTGGATTAAATCAACTAAAATACAAAGCCAATTAATTACAAGTATAATGGCACAAACCAAAGTCTATTTGCAGCAAGCATTGGAGAAGCATTCGACTGCAGTACACCTGTATACAGCAGCTCCTAACAGTTACTATTAAACTAGGTGATAAGCATCTTCAAAAATAAGAACGGTGCTGAACTCAAACATTATTAAAAGGGTCCAAAAAGAGCATAGGATTGTTATGTTTAAGGATTACTGAGCACATGTACTGTATGTGGCCTAACAATGCAGTCCACAGGGGGTTCAGTCTAATTACATTTTAAATGTAAACATACAAAACTGGACCTATAGGCTACCAATAACAAGGAGTAGAAAATCTCCTGCAATATCCGGGAGAAGTATTGCTAATTCATTGTTTGTTTTATATTGCTAACTTTGCATCATACTAAAAAGTTAGCATATCTTTGGAAATTACCCCTTCAACATTGATTGATTGATTGATTCCATGGTACTTTTGCTTCCTTTTTAAAATATTGCAAACTCATTTTCCATTTAGATCCTTCCTCTAAAGGAGGTAAAAATATTGACTTTTACAAAATACTTCTGTAGGGACAAACCACGTGTATTATTCTTGAAAAAATGAAATTAGGGACCCCAACTTTAAGTGCCTGCATTAAAATTGATTTCCTAAGCATTATAACCAAACCTCCCCTCCTCCCCTCCTCTCACACACAGCGTTGTAATTGTGTCCATGAACCGCTGGGCGAGACTCTCCGTGCGTGCAGAGGAGGGAGATGCTGGATTCGGGAGAAGGTCCGCCATTATTGGGAAGCTGAAAAAGCAGCTCTGTGCACACACCGTCACACTTTGAGCTCGCACAGCGCTGAATGTTGGGAAGGAAACAATTTGGCAGCGGTGGACACCAGTCGACAGAGCGACAGAGCAGCGCATCGTGTTGTAGCTTACGGAGTGTTGAGATTTTTTTTTTTTTTTTTTACACAACAAAGGAAATAATAATTGGTCAAAACAACGTGGCGGTGAAGCAAGAAGGGAAAACAGAGTGAAACAGCGCCGTGCAACAACACCTCCCTCTTTTCTGTGTTTTTCATGAGGGGATTCCAGAGTCCAGCCTAGAGAGAGTTTGACCAGCTTTGTGCCTTTCCCTGCTGCTGGCTTTTCCCTTTTCCAAACACGCAGCGAGGCAAATGCACACGGTTCCCTCAAACTTTACATGCAAGAGCACTTATTGTGGGAGGTAATGGACAGAATCGCGGTTTAGAGGGAAACGAATCGATGCGAGTATTTGCGGGGAGTGCTTTTTGGCGTGTTTTCTAAAGTCTGTACACGGGGGACGCGGAGAGGACCAGAGCCAAAGGACTGGACCAGAGCTGGACTCACAGCGGGAAATGCTATGGTATGTATCTTTTTTTTGGCTTAACACAAAATAAAACAAAGAAACGCGTTCTCTTACTAATATACAGCTTGAGAAGAGTCACTCTGTGGACGGACGTGTGTTTTTAATGGCTTGTCAGGAGCCTGGCTGATACCTACGGATAACAAGAAACTGGGAGTCGACCCATTTCCCCCTGGGGCTTGTGTGAGATTTGCAGAAATAATAGTTATAGCAGCAATTATTGAAATGGTGACGCATAGGTGTGTTATATGACGCTGTGGGCTCTGGTAAGAACTGTGTTTGTTTAAACGTGGGGTTTAAAGAGGAGAAAGGGCCTCATAAAGCCAATCTTGTATAAACATTAACATTATGTGTTGAACAACACCTGGCATGTATTGAGTTATTCTTTTCCTAGGTTTTTATGGGTGTTTTAATCAACTAATATAACCTTAGGGCTTTGCAATGTATAACATGCTCATAGTTTTAATCTACTTAAATTTTGATTTTATTGTGATGATCAAAAATAGGACACTACTTACTTTGAGGGTTAATATAACACCAGATACATGTGGACGCAATGTGAAAATCTCATTATGTGACCATGACTTTAAAATAAGTCAATAACGACACTGAATTTCTAATCTACTTAGTGGTGTGTGTCATAACTTGATCTGCAAGGTCCAGTGCTCTGGCAGCCACTCCCTATTTGTCAGAGTGCCTAAACTGGACTCTACCTGTTTTATTGTGTCACTTTCCCAGATTTGGACAATTTGATTTGGACTTTTTAACATACAGTCAATATAGCCAACATACCGGTAGATTTTCTCCCAACAGTAAATGCCTTGGTCGTATCTGTGCGAGAACATCCGCCTGAAGCATAATATCTGACTCATAACCTCTCCCACAGTGCTTCCACTCTGACAGCCCTAAACTTCTCACCGTGATAAAACATAATTAAAAAGATCGTAATGGAAAGAAACATCCTCTCTGAGCTATCGGGTAATGGTATTAGCAGCTGTCAGCACTTGTGTCCTTTGCTTGATTGGGACCTTTGCAGCACTGTCACACTTCTCCACAAACACTCTTTAGACCCTAATCTCACTGCCATTTACCAAAGCAACAGCCATCGAAACACTGTGTATTTGAACGAATTCAGTCGCCCTGTTTCACTGCTAGATGCTCTGGACCGAGGCATGTGTCCAGGATTAGACGAAGGCTGGCTTTACTCAGTAGGATATAGGGCAGTGATGAGATTTTGCCCCATAAAGCTGGAGAGATAAACGGTTGGGGTTGGATTGACACTCGACAGTACAGACTGACATGTGGTTCACTACTTTGGTTTATGTGCAAAAAGGACTGAGCTAACAGTCGAAAGATTTCTGTGTGACAGCTGCATTAAAATCGCGGGACACTAATCATGGGACTGAAGAGGAGGACTTGTTGTTCTCTCTCTCCTAAGGTCAATGTTTTGGAGAAAGTACTGAACCGGAAAGTCATGTCTAAATGTGTTTAATTTATCTTTATCTAAGTGTGTACAGTTAATCAAAATTGGGCCAAAACTCAAGATCAGTATGTAAAAACTGCCCAACCCTGTGTGGATAAAGCAAGGGGAAAGCTGCAGAAAAATAGAAGATTCTACAATTTTACAAACTCAGGAGAATAGCATGTTTTAAAAAGGAGGGAGTTTTGGCTCACAATATGCGTCGTGATCTTTAAACTAGACTAACAAATTCAATTCAATGTATTTTTGTGCAGCCCTAAATCACACTTTACAATGGGATTGAAGCAATGTTTTATATCCAAATATAATTACACTTGGTTTGTAGATTGTCACTTAATGAATTTGATGAGTCATTTTAATTGAGTATTAGTGCCCTAAATCAGTAATCTCATCCGTAGCTCTGAGCAGTTTATTTACATTTATTTTGATATGATTTTTGGTTGGCGTGTGAGCCCACTTAAATTAATTTATTATTTATTATTTTTTACTGTGTCAGCCCTGGCTTTTATTGTCCCAGACTGCTGCTTTGATGAATGGAAGTGTCAACCCCTGGTGTACCTGTCAACAAAAGGGGAACCCCATGGAAAAAAAATCACAAATTCTGGAAAACTGTGCCGCAACTTGTGAGTCGGAGTGAGCATATGTTTGATGGAGAAAGAAGCTAACTCCAAAGCGGCCCGTTATAATTTTCTGAACCAGATTACAGTCACTCTCCTCTCAATGGTCGCCTTGTTCTAGTGGCCGATTTATTGGGCAGAGAAGAGCATTCTGGGATGATTGTATCTGAATTTCCATTCGAAAGTGTGGCTAGCTCGCGTTGAACTGGGATCCCCTTCACAACGCCGTTTGGGATAGGCTGCTTATTACTGATTTGCACATGGGGACAGCCTGGTGGATAGAAAGGCCCTTATTCTGTTATGGAACCAGATGAACTCTTTATCCTGAATGATGGAATTATGTATGAGGGAACGGAATCTAATCTGATCTGAATGTGCCACATTAAAACATTACAGTTGATCCAGGACAAAATGTAGATATTAGAAATCCCTACTTTTTTACACAAGTAGTGTTTGCCCTTGCTCTCTTCTCCATTCTATTATACTACTTTTTCAATGGAAATGAATTCAGTGGGAAATGGTTGTTGAAAGTTAAAGCTTTGGTTATGATTAAATGCTTTAATCGTAGCCGTGGGGCTCGGTCTTTTAGAAACAAATCTAGAATAACTTGTAAAAGAGAAGGATGGTGTCAGGACCATGGAGATAAAGGGCCAGGAGGAAGACCGCACAGGAGCCGTGAACACCTTGTCTTGGCCACTAGTGCAGATACAATTACACAAGAGAGGGGCAAAGCTTAATGAGCTCTTTGGTCATTTGGATGCAGAAGAGGAACTGGAAAAAAATCTTGGAGCATAGAAATAACTGGGTATTAGACAGACAAATAAAGCCTTGAGGGATGAGAGAGGAAAGGAAAAAGTGGAAGCAAACCTGGACCTGCTGCCAGTTTGTGCTTCAGGCTGTGTTCCTGGTATGTGCCCTTTCAGCTCTCTGCTCAGGCATCAACCAATCAATGACAGCCCAAAGTTACCCTGCTGCTTCCTCATTGGCCACAGCTGAATTCCATGACTCAGCAGTATGGCCATAGATAAGATGTTGTGATTGAGTCACTGCCAATGAAATGAGGCTGAAAGTTAAAGACTTATTTGGAGAAGTCATAATAATAATATTTGTCTGTCATGTCCTACTAAATCAGCATTTAGTTTTGGTGTAATATTCGCAAAGGCCAGTTGTAACTTGCCAACCTTAGGATCTAAAAACTGGTCCGGTGAGTGGATCAAGACTCTATTGCCTAAATGTGGCAGCAGTTGTAAGAATAATGTTGTTTGTCTCCCTCACTTTGGAGATTCTCCACTTGGCGCCCCTAGGTTTCCTGTAGGAAGTCCACCTACGATGCAGGGTGCGTGTTTTTGGACTGTGGCCAGCTGGCAGAAATGAGACATTTTTACTTTCAAACAAAGTAAAGTAAAGCATTGTTGTTTTAAACTTGTTTAACAATTATTATAGCTTTTATTTTTAAAGCTCAGAATTAAGTATTAATTCCCACTAACAATGCTGTTACATTTTTTTATTGTTGAGTCAAATGTACACAGACAGTCCTGGAATATAATACTCAATCTGATTACTCTGCTCTGCTGTTAATCTGTCAGGAGATCTGATCCATACAGATTGTGGAATCTTGATGGAACCTGTCTATTAAAGAATCTGGGCAAAGAAAAAACGTTAGGTGATCAACTAATTAAAGCTGGCAGAGCCAATCCTGATGAGTTTATGATGATGGTAGGTTATAATAGACAGCTGACACAACACCTGAAGCATCCACTCTTATCATACTTTGAAGACTGCTAATCTATCATGTCTCACAGGGTGGGTCCTGATCCACTGGTGTGTTGCAGGCATGAATCCAAAATATTTCACTATTCAGAATCAAAAGCAGAATTCTTTTTATTGCCTTTGTTAGTAACAAGATGTCACAAACTAGGAAATGGATTTGGCCTTCGGCGCAAACAAGTTAAAAAATGTAACTTGTTTACACCGACTAAGGTCTTTAAAAAAGCCCAGTCTTAGGCTGCCTCCCCGTCAGATTCCATCTCTTATTTTGTAAAGACTAATGGTTTTTGTACATTGTCCCTGTTTTATAAACAATAAACTAAACTAATTGTGCTGGTGGCAGTGTGTAGTGAAAATCTGTTATCACAGTTCATGTTTATCAACCAAAGACCCTGGATCACTGTGAGGCCCGCAGGAGTGCTTCAGTTTGTGCACTCCCTCTCCCCTCTGCGCTTAGATCTGATGGGTCTGATGGACAGGCAACTTCCCCTTGTAAATTCTGAATGATACAGAATTTCCACTTTGTTTGTTAGACCTGGAAAGGACTCATAAGTAAACAGCGAGAGTAAAATGAAAAACATGTGATGCTGATGATAAAATTATGATTTGATTATAAAAATATTGAATTAATTCTTGGAAATTATTATATTTCAATCTACTCCCATCTATAAAAATGTATATTAAACATTATTTTGCAGAATGTGTAAAAAATGTTAAATAATGGACAAAGATTTGCACTTAATCCTTAATTTGACATCCTTGAGTAACATCATTGATGCCTGTGCTTGTCTGGCGAACCGGGTGCAAGTGAGAGTCACACCCATAGACCATGTATTAAGAGTGGACTGACAAAGCGCTTACGTCTTGCGTAGTGATGGTCAAATGTGGAAGAGGCTGATTTAAACATAAGCTATCTGGAGCCAATATCCGTAGTTAGTAGTTTGTTAAGACCGGGTTACTGTAACGTGGAATATCACTTGTAGCATTGCAGGAATATGAAAGTAGTCGGGCAGAGAAACAATACGCACAGGCTAGATTGGAACACAACAGAGCAAAACAACCTAAAAGGAATGGACCAAATTCCAAAGATTTTTAGAGCTTGATATAGCAACAGAAAGCCATCATTCTCTAAAAAC